ATATTTAAATATTGTAATTTGTATCTTCAAACACCTAATACATTCTTGCAAATACCCACTCCTCAACAGGTGTAGGCTTGTAGTTGTTTCATCTATAATATTGGTCATATACATAGCTCGAGGTAAAAAAACAACAAAGCTTAAACGAGAGTCCTAAAGTGTTTCTTACTGTGGAGGTAGCATAAGTTGGTCCAGAGCCTTCAATGAAAACAAGTCCTTGTTCCGAAGCCTGATCCATTGCCTATAGAGCATAAAGAAGTTGAATATGTGAGTACAATTGATGTAACATAATTTATTAGTAAGACGTCTCAAATTGAATTTGTTGTTTTTCAGAAACTATGTGGTTCATGTTTCGTGCACCATTAGTCATGAAAAATTCACTAGCTATTTTTACTTGTGGCTCACGCTAATCAAATCAGCACAAAGAATGATGCCAAATGGTTCAAGTTACATTATTTAACATGCCTAAGGCATTTGACGCAAAAATGAAGCCACAGAAAGGTTGCTCTACTTTAATCGTCAGGTTGTGGCATAAATAAAAACGGGCATTCCTCAGTTTGCATAAATTCCAAAGCAAAATTTAATAAGCATGCATGGCCGCATTGACCTTAAAAATCATTTTGATGCAAGTATTTACCTTCTCAAGTCCTGATACATAAGCTCTTTCATGAACACTAGCTATATCATCAATTGTAGCAGTCCTGAAGTTTGTAAGTTCAATAATCTCTGAGCCCCTAAACTGAAGACAAGAATAGTGAAATGGGAAAGAGGATGGAACATTAGTTTGATAAGTGAATGAATAATCTATGTGATATAAATGATAGTTAAAATTCTTTACAAGGAGGCACATTTGCGTCAGACCACACCATTTTCTTCCGTATTAAGTATTGAGGAACGGGTGAACATTTCCAACAGAAATATTATTTTGTAGTTTCACAAGTACCATACTAACTTGCTTAGAAGAAGTTGAGAGAATAAAGAAAAACTACTTGGCTTAATGCTACTAGAAACATTATTGCATTATCTGTATTATATAATAATAACAATATACCTCTGGAGTCAACTTCATTTCTGCAAGGGCATTGACAATGGCAGGAACTCTGGAATTGCATTCAGGGTGTGATTCCTGATGGCATTAAAGATGAGATCAACATCACAAACGAAATTTCGTATTTCCAGATAAATCACATTTAAAAGCAACTGGAAAACACAAGCATTAAAACTAATCAAATAAATTAATACAGATTTACCACTTGAATGAACTATGACCATAAGAAAGTTACAAAACAAAACAAAACAAAACAAAACAAAACAAAAAAAAAAAAAAACAGGCAGAACTCACGCGTTTCCTTACCTTGTTATGGCCCATGGCAGGAGCAACTGAATATATCACTTTGCCGCTAAGTAACTCTGTCTCGGAAGGTAGACAAGGACTATTTTTAGAGATATTCAGACAACATATGGAAATCCTTTTCCTGAGTTGGGAATATGAATTCAAAGATTTCACACCCCTCGGCAAAGAAGAATTTTTATTATAGTAACCGTACATAAAATGCTTTTTCCATCTGAATATGTGATGCCTATGCTTGTAGAATAACTCTCCTGCCAGGAGCAAAATAAAATATGTATGACAGAAATCAAGTTCACAAAGAAGGGTAGCTGAAATAAGATGGTTGCAGAAAAGGACCACATCGTCTTTTGTGCTTTACATTTTCTTACAAGATACGATCGGTGCTCTTGGATTTGACATTCGGATTAGTATGAGACTTTATATACTTTAAAATATGTTAGGAGATGTGGCACACTTTGTCTCCTTGAGAAAATCCATAGGGCGTTACACATTGCTCTAAAGCAAGCACACTTAAACTTGGAGTTCTTAAGGGCTACATGAAGGAAAGAAGATGGAACCTTGTTCATATGAATCGTTTAAGCTTTTTCTCATATCACGAACTGTAGTGTTCCACATATTGGTCGAGCCCATGTTCGAAAATTCAAATGAACGTATATAATATGTGCAAGGAAAGTGATGGTGGTACAATTAGATAGATATTATTGAAATATGATACATTTCAAATAGATTGGTTTAGTAGTGATGGCCTCACAGGTATAAATTGAGGAATATAACATAAAACGATAGATTGGTGATGAAAATTTATAAGGTCGTGATAGAGATCACTGTTGTGTTTAGCAAGGAAGGTTTGGGCTAAAATTTGATGTTAGAGCCTTAATTAGAGATATGACCAGTTAGATCATGATCATCTATATGAAAGTTTCATGAAGAGAGGCTTAGATTAACATTTTTGTTCCAAAATGCTAATTTCGGATAAGTTCCAAAAATGAGCTAATTGTGTGGAGAAGATTGAAGATTATATAGATGGTAGTACTGCTGTATGCTTATATTATTACTCATTTCACAGCCATTTTATTAATTAAAGTATTAGTAATATTTAGTTATTACAAATAAAACTTAACATATTTATAAATTAGCACCTAAAAGAATTGTGCATCTAAAAATTGTAAACTGATCACTATTGTGAAGCTAATTTTGTAATTTGGTCATATAAACCTACATCCTACATAAATATTCCGAATAAAAAGAATCTTTACCTTA